CGCCAAGTAAACCGACCTTGGCTAAGAGCCACCTTACAACCTGTCAAAATGTGCCTTAATGTGGCAGGTGATGAACACAAAGGACAAGAGGGATCCTCTCCTACCCAGAGGTTTAGGTTCTGCAGTGATGGGAGAACATCATATGTTGACCTAATAAGGAAACTGATCCTACTCTCTTCCATTGACCAAAGGTCTTGCCAGCCCATCTTGCGTCGTTCCACACTCTCCCATCTCATCCACTCTCCCTGCTTGGCCTGGGAAATGGCCTTTATGCACCTCATCCTCTCCTCCTGCTTTCGCACCTCGTTGACTACCAGCTTCCTCCTTTGAGCTGGGCCTGCCTTGTGCCATTTAGGAGGAGCTAAACTGAGCCCAAAACCACCTCTTCCATGCTGTACATGTCCCACGATATCCCCAATTTGAAGGTCAGCCTTTGCCTCTACTACAGATTTCTTTGCTGACCACTTTCTACCCGTTTTTAACACAGGGGCTGCCTCCCTTACACATTTGTCACGTGACTCTACTAAGGTCATTTCCAGTTTGACCTTGGCACACTTAAACTCTTCGGTTAAAGCAGAGACTGGCAGCTGCAATATCCCTTTACTATAAAGTCCCACTCTGCTGAGGCAGCGTGGAACTCCCAACGATTTCCTGATGTATGAACTTATCAACGCTTCCAGCTTATCCATTGTTGTCAAAGAAACGTCGTACACAGTCAATGGCCACAGCAACCTCGGCAGTAGACCAAACTGAAAGCACCAGAGTTTTAGTTTGCCTGGTAGAGCACAGCTGTTTATGCTCTTCCACTGCTTGTCGTCTAACTTCTCCCACTCAAACTGTGTCCTTTAGATCCCCATCGTACCATCTCCCAAGACTCTTCACTGGCTTCTCAGAAACTGTTGGTATTGCCTCACCATTAATGAAGAATGTTTTATCTACTACCTTACCTTTAACTATCGAGATGCTCCTTGATTTAGAGGGCTTAAATTGCATTCGTGCCCATTCAATATTATCTGTTAACTTCCCCAATAACCGATTAGTGCAGGCTACTGTTGTTGTCATGTCATCCATGTATGCTCTGATTGGTGGTAGTCGCATCCCAGAAGCCAAGCGCTCTCCTCCTACTACCCATTTTGATGCCCTAATGATTACTTCCATTCCCATGGTAAAAGCCAGTGGAGAAATGGTGCATCCTGCCATTATTCCAACCTCTAAGCATTGCCATGCAGTGCAGAATTTTGGAGTTGAGAAACTAAATTGCAAATCTCCAAAATAGGCTTTCACTAAATTTGTTATTGACATTGGTACTCTGAAAAAATCAAATGCTGCCCAAAGAAGCTCATGTGGCACTGAACCATATGAATTAGCCAAATCCAGGAACGTCACATGGAGCTCCTTCCTCTCCTTTTTAGCTGACTGAATTCGTTGCCAGATAACATTGATGTGTTCTAAGCATCCTGAGAACCCTGGAATGCCCGCTTTTTGAACTGAAGTGTCAACGAAGCCATTCTTTAATAGGTAGGTGGACAATCTCTGGGCAATAATGCTGAAGAAAATCTTACCTTCAACGTTTAACTTAAGCCTGGTTCAGACAGGACGATTTTAAAATTGTTGGCCGATTTTCCAAACCTGAGAGACCCCACACATGGCGATAAAAAATCACGGGTCTAACAGTTTTGGTCGTACAGTGTGTGGTGCGCTGCCACACAGCAAAATCAACACATCACACACGAACCGATTTGACTCCCGAGCATTCCCAGATCAGACGGAAAATCTCGCAAAATCCCTCGAGATAAACAATCATGGCGGACGAAGAGGATGCAGTGGCGATAGTTTGTTTTTAACCGAAAAAAAACGTTATCAAAAGAAAAGGCGATGGTCAAAGAATCTCCGACGTCCACCGGACTTTCTGGTGCGCCATGCCGCCGGCTGTTTTGATTTTGTTTCCCGGTGCTTCCTCTGTGCCTCGTCACCTCGCTTTCTGATTGGCTACATGCCACAGTCCACAGGCTGCGTGCTCGTTTGTCCCCCACGGACACCACACACGAGGAGAAATCGGGCCAAAAAAATCCAACATGTTGGATATCCCCGATTTGAGATCGGAGCGGTCCTGACGTCCTTCCGAGCAGACGAGAGCAGTCTTAACACACCACACACTGCAGGAATATCTGATCAGATTATTTTACGATAATCGGAGCATCCTTAAGATTGTCGGAAGGGGTAAATCGGGACTAAAATCGGCCTAATTATCCTGCCGTGTGAACCAGGCTTTAAATTACATTAAAGGCACACTGTGGAACTTTTCAACCTTTATAATATATTTCCAAAACCCATTGAGATGGTACATCGACTTACAATAGGTTGAATGACACGTCTGCCGTAGCCTGAAGGTGTCTGTATCGCTTTTCCTAGCACTATCTAACTTCGGGTTTCGGGTAGGAACCCGAGCACAAAAAGAACTACAAAATTCAACCGCTTTACGGCATACGTCACTTCCCCCACCACCCACAACTTCCTCAGATTCTGACGTGAGTGCTCAACTCGCGTTTGATTGCCGTCTGTATGTTTTCATCATGGTCGAACCAACAGCTACAAGGAAGAAGGCAAAGGTTTTGTCAGAGGACACTAAAAAAAAAGAAAAAGGCATAGTGACAAATGAAAAGCCAGGACGAGGATCACCATTGGTCCAGCGTTCGCTCGCTGGCGTGAGCTACAGGAGGAGGAGGGGTGCCCGACCGATGCTGACGCTTGCCTTCACACAAATGCCGTTTCCAAGGTTACCCAGATAAATCATATAAGTAGTGTAGTATTTTCTGGTATTCCGGCCACAGCCGATGGTGTTATGAGTGTAATAAAATGCCCACAGCCCATTGTTCATTTCTACACACAAACACAGCCCGCCACAGTGCAGGGCTCGCACAAATAAAATCGACTCATGTCAAATGTACATTAAATGTAGTGAACGTGCCCACGACTTAGTGCCCACAAACACTACACACGTCCCACGGTTTCTGTAAAACGAAACCAAAACACATAAGTTACAGTCAGCTCAGGCCGACGGTGTTTTTAGTGCAGTAAATGTGCCCGCCGTCCCGCGCCCACATTCACTCACAGACATGTTAGCACTAAGCCCCACGGGGCTCGCCTCGCTCGCTCTCTCCCAGCAGACTGCTATAAGGGAATCGAGCGCGGCAAGGCTGCCCGCCTCAAACACTGCAAGCACACACAATCTAAAGACACGGGAGGCTGACCCACTGTCTATGGGCGGACCGGTTGACTTTTTGTTGACTTTTGCGACAGTGCTGCGGAGCTTGTGGCCTCTAGGGACGCTAGACGTGAAAGTTACAGGTCGAGCGCCACTAGTGGCCAAAAGTTCTGCGGTGTGCCTTTAAACTGCCTTTAAAAAATTAGTTGAATCTAATAGTTTAATGCAGGGGCGTAGGAGCCATTATACGTGGGGGGGACATGTCCCCCCCACATTTCAAAATCGAAGTTTTGTCCCCCCCACTATTTCCCAATGTAAGATTTTGTTTTGCATTGCCTGCCTATCTCTGCCGATTTCGGAGTCTCCAAATGAATCCATTCGGCAACTTTTAAATACATAATTAAATTTTTTAAAAACGGCCGAACTCTTCAGCTGCTAATCTCGTAGTCAGTCGACCATGATCGCGCACCGCTCGCGCACGCGCATCTAGGTGACACGGATAAATGTACGCAGCAATATATAATGAGTGTTCCTGGGAGATCCTAGTTGCGCGGGATGTGGAAGCGTGCAAAAGTTCCAGAAATGTACATAAAGTGCCCTGGCCTTGAATGACAAGGTAAGGAAAATAAGACTAAATCTAAATTAAATAACCAAGACTAGGTTGGCCATGTGATTTTTCTCAGGAGATGTTTCGAGCATTTTACTTCAGACACCGGATTATCAGCAAACTGCCAAGAGAACTGCTAGCTGGCTACTCAAAATAAACTAGCAATCTATTCAGGCAGCATATTTGTGTTTGATCTGTGTGAATTACAGAAATATAAGACTTGCTAGACCTACTTTTAGCTACCAAGGAACCTTTCCACAAGGATAGATTGATTTTATTTTTCAATCTATCCTTAGGGGGTAAGCTAGGTGGTTAATGGAAATTAAATCAACCATTTATTTTAATTTTTAGTTAATCAGTACATGACTGATTAACAGTACTGTAAATGCTAAATGTCCTAATACCTGTTGATACTACAACAATGCAAAGTATATGCTCTTAAGCTTGCAGTTTTTCAATCTAGCTTTACTTTCAATGCCAAAAAAAAAAACTTGTGGAAGCTACTTTTCTGTCTGTGATTGATTATGGTGACATATTATATATGCACGCAGCCTCCTCCAACTTACGGAGCCTTGATTCAGTGCATCATGCATCTCTACGCTTTATTACAAATGCAAAGTCCCTCACTCACCATTGCATTCTTTATGATCTGGTGGGTTGGATAGCACTGACCACCCGCAGAAAGCAGCACTGGTATATTTTTATATATAAAGCCATGCTAGGTAAACTTCCAGCTTACCTCTGTACCCTCCTCTGTCTAAATTCTGCTAGTTATCAGCTACGCTCCTCCAAGTGGTTGCTTTTTAATGTACCCAGGGTTTTTTGACAGATCTGGGGAAAACTGCATTTTCATACTATGCACCCATTTGCAAAAAGATCTTAAACTTGAAACGTGTCAATTGATAAATTTAAGAGCATCATAAAAATGTTTTGGTAAAAGAGACATGTGGTTGTTTTTCTTGAGAGGCCATTGTGTTTGAATGATTTTTGCATGATTGTATGTAGCATTTTTTACTATGTTGTGTTTATGTATATGGCTGCTACCTTGTATGTAGCATTAATATGTTGTGTTTATGTATAGCTGCTAACGACGTTACCTTGGCCAGGTCTCTCTTGTAAAAGAGATTTTTGATCTCAATGAGACTTCCTGGTAAAATAAAAAATTAAATAAAAAAACATTCACCATACCTGACACAAAATGGCAACTGCAAATCCACGTTTCGCTGCCTGGATTCCAGTTGTTTCTGCAAAGTGCAGCGATCCATTTGGTTCTCTTTTCTTTTGCTTTCGGCAGTCTGTAAAAAGACAGATTCGATTTCTTGTTGAATCTGTTTTTACAATCAATCGCAGAACAGCTCTTTCCCATTTTTTTTCTTTTCCCCCCCCCCTTTCTGCTTTCAAGCTGAACACAGCACTGCCACTCAGTGGGTTAAGCAACCACGGTGACTTCCGCCTATGACGTCAAGTGCAGCAGAGCATCGGGTATGGTGGCCGAGATAGCACAACGCACTGCAAAAAACGCATGCATATACAGAGGACACAAGCAAATAGGGCTGTCTGCTCTATTATGTCTATGGTCTACCAAAGTCCGTTCTCTGGGTCTACTCTACACGACACCGTTTTCAACTAAAAACGGAATGACTTTTTGTGCGTTTTGGCCGTTCATTTACACGACAACAGCGTTCTGTAATCTGAAAACGCAAACTTCAAAAGTGCAAGTTCTTGAAAACGACACCCATAGACATAATAAATACATGTCTATGACGACACCCGTATCATCTCCGTGTAAAACTACAAAATCGAATCTGTGAAAACGTTGACGTCACGTCATGCACATGCGTATTACTTGTTTAGTCGGCTTTTTAGGTTAGAGAAATTTCATTTAAATTATTACACAAATTTTACCCTGCTAAAGCTCAGATGTAAACACAAGTTGTTCCTTTTGTGGTGCCCCTGCTTTTCATATCTTCTGGGATTGTCCTCACACACAGTTATTTTGTTGAATTTTCTAATTTTATTAAACACAATGTGCTTCCGGATTTCTCTTTGCTTTTAAGGATGTAGGCTACTGTTTCTGTTTGGCGTCTCAATATACAAAAAGCTCAATTTAATGAGTATTTTATTATTAATCTATTATTGTGCCTTGCAAAATTTCACATTCTCCGTAGTAAATTCACTCAGCAGAATTCCTTATTCATTGTTTTTAGAAGAGAGGTCCAACAATAGGCTACATCCAAAGCATTTCGTCATCTAAGAATCTTAAAGCTCTTAAGACAATAAACTTGTTTCAACTTTTTAATTTATTTCATTAAAGCTTTCTGTTCTGTTCTGTTTTATTATTATTTTTATTTTTTTATGAGTACAGGCTATATGTATAGGCCTGTGTGCTGTTTTGCTTTCTTTATTTCGTTGAATGTAATTTGTACATTTGTGTAGGCTACTTATATTTTTGATACCTTGGCATTAATAAAAAATAAAATAAAAAGTCTATCTTTTTTTGCAAATGAAAGGACTTTTGCCAATCTACATTCTTAGAATGATTGCACTGTAGTGAAATAATGCGTATGTGCGCAGGCGCGTCTTTACAAAGTGACATCGCCAACAAGGCTTCTTGTCTGGCATGCATAATTCAGTGTTATTAGTTGTTTTTGACAGATCTGTGTGAACGGGGATAACGTTGTCATCTGTAGGCTACTGTACAAAGAAAAAAACGTTCTGTTTTCAGCACATATTTGTCGTGTAAACGTAGGCCTACTACCCTCAGAAAACATCTTCATCAGTTTGACAACACATGTGCTGCAAATACTCACAATAGCCTACATACTGTACGATATCTGATGTTTTAAAAAACATCACCTTTCAGGTCATGGACAAAATAGTCATAAATAGACGTAGAGCAATTTAATATGAATATTGGATGTCTTCAGTTGGTTAGAGTGGAAAATGTGACATTACTGTGAAACCAAACATAAAGGCAAGTATGTATCAACATATATATATTATTATATATTAATATTTATTTCAGGAATGTCCAAAATAGCCACATTTTTTTTACATTTATATTTATATAATATATAACTAAGCCATGCAAACAAATATGTTGTAATAAATAAATAAACAAACAAACATTCATTCATTAGCCACTATTTATATTTATTTTATATTTAGTAATGCATTAGTGTAAATGTATCTAACAGCGAGACACAATATACAGTATACTACTTTATTATAATAAATAAAGACTGGACTGAGTAACTTAAAGTCTGGCCAATAAGTGCTTTATTTTGTGTTAATTTGTTGTTGCTGCTGTTGTTTATTAGATTCCCACAAAATAAACTGTTCACACAAAAGACTGAGTCTCGCTGTATCGCTCAGGATGCACTGCAGTGTCTATTCACAGGCGCGATCCCACTACTGATCGACACGGGGACTTTGACCTGCTCCGTCTCCGACCTGGGCCGGTTCACCCCTCCTTAGGCGACCTGGTGGTCCCGGGCTCCCCCAGAATCACCATATCGATATCGAACTTAGTGCGGACACCCGATCGACATAGTCCACTGCAGTCCAGAACCCCTGAGCTCAAGCGATCCTCCAGCCTCAGCCTCCCAGTAGCTTGGACTACAGGCGCGCGCCACTGCACCCGGCTCCGAGTCCCCCGAGTCCCGCCGCATTCTCAGACCCTTTGTTTTTCGAGACAGCGCCTCCTATCAAATTGGATCGGATAAACATGTGAAGAACTTAAGCCGAAACGTGAGTATCGTATCGTCAATTTTATTTAGCGAATCATACTCATTCAATTTCTTTATTAATAAAACTACTTTATAGTTCATCGATACACCAACATATGAATAGTCCATTTAATATGTGTAAAGATAGTTTGTAACAAAAATTGAGCCGTTAATGTATGTTTTTTCGCCTTTTTTCCACGAAAATTTTTGATAGCTAAAGTTAGCCTTTAACCTTGGACTTTTTATAGACAAGCCATTGTAAAAATTTATTATCAAAGAATGTCATCATTAATTATTTAAGCAGCTTTGCCGTTTGACCTTTTTTTAATTACCGGACCTTTTCTCCTAAAACTATAAATTGAATTAATTAATGCCGGAGTAATTTATTTATTTATTTATTTATATGGGCCATCATTCATGGCCTATGTGAGATGCAGGCATTATCCTGGCAGGAGGCTGAGGAGGTGTTCCTCCGTGGCCCTACTTATAACCCTAGGTATGCTTGTAATTTGCATTTGCAGAAAAAAACATTATTTATTATTACACAATATTTTTGACAATGGCATTCATCTTTTATTTTAGTGAAGTCGAGGAATTTGACAGAGCGATTGATTGCAAAAAGAAGGAAAAAAGAAGGAACATTCACCTACCAGAAAGTAATTATTTTACCTTATGCATTTATATTACATTTTACATTTATTCATTTAGCAGACGCTTTTATCCAAAGCGTGAATGAGGATTTTTTTTAAATGCAATTGAAGACGAAAAGTAAAGTCACTAACACAATTCTTTCTTCCTTTTTTCTTTACAGCAAGATGATGTTTAGGTGATCTTTAAATAAAGTACAGAATTGTTTATTATTGGTGTTTTGTCTATTCTTATTTGAGTTTTGCTTCACATTCAAAATATCAAAAAACAGGTTTTGTAATGTTAGCATGGTATAATGTTAATTAGACCATTATAGGTTGAACTGAAAGAAAAATTGGAATTTTAATAAAAAAAAACATTGTAGCAATATAATATCACATAATATTTTTCAGAAGATAGTTCAATCTGTAATTGTATCCCTTCCACACCCATGCTAAAAAAAATAACTACTGGGTAATTTGTTAGTCAGAGAACACAATGCGTTTTTTTGCCACATGCAAAGCAGGGAACGCAAATATTTATTTGGATAACTTTAAATAAAACGAGACCGTAATATTGCATTCTATTATTTTTTCAATTGCATTTGGATAAGGTTGCGCTGTCTCGAAAAACGAGCGGTCTGAGAACGCGGGACTCTGGGTGGGGGTGTTATACGATCTTCCGAACAGCAGGAGGCGCTGTCTCGAAAAACAAGGGGTCTGAGAATGCGGGACTCTGGGTGGGGGACTGTAGATCATAGACAGTAAAATAAATGGACAGAGCGATCTCATTGGAACTCAGTTGAGACAGTTGAAGCCCACTTTTAGCGATTTTTGAGAACTTCCGTTCCTGACGCGCAGACTCAGACCGACTCAAACTAAGCTTGATGACGTGAGCAACCTGTCTGACAGACGTGAATCTTCTAGTAGCTGTGCGTGAAAATTGCCAACGTTAATCTTGCAGAGACGGGGAACTTGAGCAAAGAGTCCTTTATCGTGAGTGAGCAGGAGTAAGTATTCCGTTGCTTTTATGGACTCATTATCTATGGGCTTCTCTCTTGACGGGACGTCCCCCCGATTGCCTGCGAGCTTCTCCTCCTGTCTGTACGGTAATTTCTGTACAGCGCGACAGAGAGTCGAGTGGTTATGACGCAATCGTTAGCCTATTTTTACTAAAACTGTTTCTACGGGGCCATAATGTAACATAGAAGGTAATGGAGCCATTTATACATTGTCGTGTTTCTTTAGAAATAAATAATGGACAAATGGAGTCTTTAAACGCCTCAGATGTAAAGTTATTCGCTGTCAAAGTGACGCCAAAATGAATGGTAGTCAATGGAAATGCTAACGCAAGTGAAGTTCTGCTACAAGATGGCGGCACCCGGCCGGCTTCAACTTCCGGTCGATGGATTACCCCCTTGCTGTAGATGCAGGCGCCAAGTCTGCAGCTTCATAAGATTGGAGACGGGAGACCTGGCTAGACGGTTCCATTCAAGATTGTGAAGTTGGGCTTAGTGGTTATTACCACTGTCTATGGTTATTACTAGATCTACCGACGCGATCGCAACAGACACGGAGGAGGAGGAGTGTGCCTTTTTATAAGGACTGGTATAACTTTTAATCCGCGCCACGATCTACAGGTGGATGGCATGGAGGCAGCGTGGGTGGAGTTCATTTTTCCTAAAACAAAGCCCGTCATTGTTGGTGTATGTTATGGTGCGTTCTATTATTTATCCGTCTCGGAGATCCGAATCGGAAGACAGACGTTGCGTAGCAACACGCCCCCTTTCCTCGGATTTCTCCTCTCGGACGTCGGACAACCGTGAGGACACCGAGCAAGAATTCCGTTTCGGAATTCAAGATGGCTGCGCCCTGTGTGACTTGAAAGTATGAATTGTTTTCATTGTTTTTGAACCGCTTTGGTATTTTAAATGACGATTATAATCACTCGTATTACTGCGTCCCCTGTAGGTATGGGAATCGGTTGTTGTGAGTGCAATTACTACGTTG